GCAAGGTCAGGGAGGACGAGGAACAGGTTCTGCTAGTTGCGCCCCTTTGGCCCAACCGGACCTGGATATCAGAGCTCTCACTCCTCGCGACGGCCCTCCCCTGGCGGATCCCTTTGAGAGAGGACCTACTCTCTCAGGGACAGGGCACCATCTGGCACCCTCGCCCCGATCTTTGGAACCTCCACGTGTGGTCCCTAGACGCGAGGAAGACTTAGGTAACCTACCGACTGCGGTGGTTAATACCATCACTCAGGCTAGAGCCCCCTCCACGAGGCGCGCCTACGCCCTGAAGTGGAGTCTATTCACTGAATGGTGCGTCTCTCGCAGAGAAGACCCCCGAAATTGCCAGATTAGTGTTGTGCTCTCTTTCCTTCAAGAGAAGTTGGACAGCAGGCTGTCGCCCTCCACTCTCAAGGTTTACGTGGCCGCCATCTCCGCTTATCATAGCGCGGTAGCTGGCGGCACCGTGGGAAAGCATAACCTGGTCATCCAGTTCCTTAGGGGTGCTAGGCGAATTAATCCATCTCGCCCCCCTCTCATGCCCTCTTGGGATCTCGCCCTCGTTCTCACGAGTCTGCGATCCGATCCCTTTGAGCCACTCAAATCAGTATATCTAAGATTTCTGTCCCTGAAGACAGCTCTGCTGGTTGCGTTGGCCTCCATCAAGAGGGTCGGGGACCTGGAGGCATTTTCGGTCAGTGACTCGTGCCTGGAATTCGGGCCGGATTACTCTCACGTCATCCTGAGACCCCGCCCCGGTTATGTGCCCAAGGTTCCTACCACCCCCTTTAGAGATCAGGTAGTGAACCTGCAAGCGCTGCCCCCGGAGGAGGCAGACCCAGCCCTTTCTTTACTTTGTCCAGTTCGCGCTCTGCGCATTTATGTGGACCGTACTCAGAATTTTAGATCATCTGAGCAGCTCTTTGTCTGTTATGGCGGTCGGCAGCAGGGAAGTGCCGTATCAAAACAAAGATTATCCCACTGGATTGTGGATGCCATTTCACTCGCTTATTCGAGTCGAGGTCAGTCGTGTCCCCCGGGAGTTCGTGCACACTCCACTCGGAGCGTTGCATCCTCTTGGGCGCGTGCACGCGGCGCCTCTCTAACAGACATCTGTAGAGCTGCGGGCTGGGCGACACCCAACACATTTGCAAGGTTTTACAATCTGCGAGTGGAGCCGGTTTCCTCAAGGGTATTAGGTAACCCTTTGGTGATTGAGGAGACAACTCGGTAGGGTGTTAAAACACGCTTGCTGCGCCATTCTCCCTAACACGGAGGTACGTGCGCCTTTTCTATCTGTCAGTAAAGTTCCCCGTCAGGTGAGCCCTGCAGATTCCTCCGTGGCCCCCAGCACTGACTCAGCGGAGGAGTCACTTGCTGGCCCACTACGTTGTAGGTCTGCCCGCTGGTCAGCCCGCGTTTTGGGTATAGGTGCCTGCTATGCGTGATCCCCACTAGGCGATCCCATATGCTTATTCCGCCACGGTTAAGTCCCCCCCCTGGGCGGACCCGTGTCTTCCCTCTCCGCTAACCACTCTTTTGCTATGCGTACTCCCCCTTTTTTAGGGCTAGTCCATATGTAAATTCTGCCATCTACCCCCCCCCTTGGGTAACGGATGGCCTCCGCAGCGTCCTCCCTATCGGGATTGCACGCTTCCCAACGTACTATCGTATTTCCTAGAATTATCTAGATGCTCACGACTTCCCAAAAAATATATCTAAATCCGTAAAACTTCTGTTGAAGTAGGATAAATTAGGGCCAGGGACACGTTGGAGGACCGTGCCCCCCATGATGTGGGTGCGTCACGCTTGCTTGACTATCTCCTCATCGGGGGTGTTGGTAAGGTGCAGTCATTATGGCGCTTTCAATGGGCTCCCAATGCGTGGATTTTACAAATCAAATCCACTTATAGTGCTGAAGTTCCCCCCGAAGGGGAACGTTCGAGGTTACTAAAGTAACCCTTCGTTCCCCGAGGAGGGGAACGGAAGCACTATACTCCGTCGCCATAATGACTGTCCCTTAGCTGTTTGAAAGTCTCTTCAGCTTAAAAGGATGGCGTCTGCTGGCTTCAGGTGTGCTTATATGCTGAGATAATTGCAGATGTCGCACACCTGCGCAAGCTTACGCTGCCAATTAATTTCATTCATTGGCCCGTTCAATACTCTCCAGACAAGCGGCTTCTGATCCGAATCCTCCCAATGCGTGGATTTTACAAATCAAATCCACTTATAGTGCTTCCGTTCCCCTCCTCGGGGAACGAAGGGTTACTTTAGTAACCTCGAACGTTCACTTTTACATAAGCACTTCCCATTGAGTGTGTTCCACTTTGTCAAGTGCATGAGTGAAATCTGCACGGATAAACCCTTGATTTGAGTGAGTTTACTTTAAATGTGCATTCCAGCTCCTATATGTCCCACAATGCAATATGATTCTGAAGTCCCAGTGACTTCACATTGCCTAGTACTTCCTAAGTGCTCAAGGGCTTAATGCATTCCATTTAAACCATTTCATATGTTCTGCCAATAGTGAACACTTGTGTAACATAATCAATAATGCACATCCAATTAAACAAGAGGGAAGTTAACAAGTGAAGGGAATAACAATTTGGCTTGGATTGTTCAGTGTCTTTTGGTTTGCTTTGGCAGGCAAGGTGATGCAATAGGTCGGTGTGGCTCTGGGGCTCTGCCTTTGCTTTTGCTTTAGAAATATTCTGCGGTCCATTTTATTGGCTCTGTATTTATATATCTTATTTGTAAATACATGGATGGGATTATCATTAATGGCATGGCTTTTCTGCTAAAATATGCTTCTCTAGTTCTTTTCACCCCTAAACAAACAAGAAAAATATGCCACAGCCATATTACCCTGCAGCCCAAGACTGGATATTTACTGAAGCTAAGCAGGGCTGAGCCTGGTCAGTACCTGGATAGGAAACCACATGGTTGCTGTTGGAAGTGGTGTTAGTGAGGCCAGCAGGGGGCGCTCAACTTGCGGTCTGTGTGAATCCTAATGCCTCAGTCTAGTAAAGGGGACACTATACTGTCAGTGGATGCCGTCTTTCGGATAAGACGTTAAACCGAGGTCCTGACTCTCTGTGGTCATTAAAAATCCCATGGCACTTCTCGTAAAGAGTAGATCCGTAACCCCAGTGCCCTGGCCAAATTCCCTCGCGGACCTTAACAATCATGGCCTCCCAATCCTCCTCATCCACTGAATTGGCTCTATCACTCTCCACTCCACCTATTGACCTTATTCTAAAATGCGGAAGTGCGCCTGTTTTCGCGATTGTCTTAGAACTTCCGATTCAGTCGCCTATGGGAGAAATGACTAGGAATAATAAACGGCAGAAAATGGCCAAACTACTTGCTCAACAAACAAATGTTTGCATGACTACACAGACCAAGTAGCATAATATAATAAGAAAATATTAAATTGCAACATCAAGCAGCGTAACGAGCAGTTGTTAACGTCAAAAAATGAATTGAAGTGAATGTGACCGGAAGTCGCGAGACAAAAAGATTCAAATGGCAGCGCCCACTCGTCAGCTGAGAATAAGGTGAATAGCTGGTGTGTGGTAAGCGCACTAGTGCCGTTGTCCTGTGGCTGCCGTCGCATTATCCAAGTGGATGCTGCACACTGGTGGTGGTGTGGAAAGACCCCCCCCTCAGCATTGTGAAGCTCTTTGGGTGTATGGCCACACACAATAAATGTGGTATATAAATACACATTACATTACAAATATTGTTTGTGAGTATATATGGGGATTTATAGGGTAATTTTAACCGAATAAGTGGACATACTTGGAAAGTTACTTTCAGTCAGTATCATGTCAACATAAAGTTATATCGGCTAGTAAGCAGACTGCCACCAAAAAAACGCAAGTCTTAAGTGAACCATTAAATATAATGTGTGATTTTATTTACAAAGGATCAAACCTTCAAAACCAGTCCAGTGTTTCCTTTAGGATTTTTTCCAGCTGTGGCGGCAGGCCGTTTTTACTCAGATCTACCAACTACCTGTGGCGTTATTTCAATGACAAATGTCGTGAGCGCAGTATTACAATTCGAGATCTCATTTATGTAATAGCCTACGAGCATGTGAATCTCTGTGCGTGCACAAAACTTCTTGCATGGCCCCTCAAATATACGCTGCTCAAGCGCAGATCTTCTTGCGCTCTCTCAAATAAACGCTGCTGTAGTGCAAATTTAGTGTGTTTACCTGTATGTAACAAGTATGTCTCCAACATTTTTTTAGATTTGCTAGGAATATTTGTGAATGTCTCTTATAGACCTACAGAGCAACATTAATGCTTCCTGAAGTAAAGTGAAACGGCTATACGTCATGTTTACGTCAGTCAATCAGTCAGTCAGTCAGCCAGTCGGCACATAACATTAAAGAGTTAAACAAACAGCGCACAGCACTACTATGGTTACAGAAAAGTTCACTCTGTTATAATTCACTTACCTTTTAATACGTTTTGGTGCGATTATAACCCACTATTAAAAAATACACAACAGTGTTTTGAGTGAGAAGCTGTAATGTAGCTGTGACAGGATCAATTTTGGCGTGGCGCCCCACCATTGAAGAATGAAAGTAGCGGAAACCATGCAGTCAAAATGTCTGCCTGTATTACCCTGAAAGCTCACTCCTCACCTTAGGATACAGTTTGAAAACATTTTTTATATAAACAGCTCTCACTTGAAATGATCCAGAACTGTTTCCATTCCTTGATGATGGGGCAGAATAACAGTTACTATCAGAACAGCTGACTCAACAGTTACTGTATATTCAAAAAAGAGCCAAAACCTCTATTCAGCTCATGACTCAACTTTTGGGATTGTCTGCAGTGTCCTGACCAGGCAGCTGATGAATCATTTCCTTGGCTTTGAGGGCTGAGCTCAGCATATGATTGAGTGTCTATACCTATCTAGTAATCATAGCTTGCATAACACACTTTGTCAGTTTGATTACAATGCATCTGCTGAGATGAAACACTTACCCTGTTGATAAAACATTGGAGGAACCATTTAGTGCTGTAAATACCACTGGACATCTGCTCCTTATCCTGATGTGAATGATTTTTTTGAAAATGAGAAGGGAACTCAGCATTAGGGAAACTGATACATGTGAAGTTAATAGCTATATTTAACTTAACCCAACTCGAAAGTTCTTTGTGTTATTTAAAGTCTTGAATCTGTTAAAGCAGGCTTACCAAATGCTTCTTTAGTTTGGGTAAAAGCTTGGAGAGAATCTGGTCATGGTGGTTTTGGAAACGCTGAAGTTTGGGAAATCCAGGAACAAAGAATCCTGTGGTGGGGTGAAAATGTACAGGTATGACAAAAATGACATGAGTTTCCTCATGACTTCAATTTGCAGTGTTAAAAATGATAAGTTTTTGTATACACTACTATTTAGAGCTGTGGTAAAAAAATCAGTTGAGAAATCGGTTCTCTATTGATTCTGAAACTTTCAAAAAGCAACACTATGTTCTCTTTTGAATTGATTCTGAACTTAGTTTTAAACAGCAGATGGCACTCTAGGTTAGTTTAAATTGTACACTCAAACGCTGATGAGGAAGAGTGCTTAACATTTGGCTAAGTGATTTAAAATTGCTTTTATATCATCAGATTAATATAAACACAGCTCACTATGAACACTCTTGTAATTTACTTAAACATTTCCTAACTTAATAATTAATTTAGGTTTAAGTGGTGTTCATAAGGAATTGGACATAAGCAGAGTATGGCTGTTTGTAAAGCATACAATGTGTTTTGAAAATCTCAGAATTGATTTCTCAAATCATTTTTCGCCACAGCTACTGCCATTAAAAAAGTTTGAAAAGACTTTTCTTTTTTTTTTTTTTTAAATAATATGAATGTCAAAATTGAATACTGTGACAACAAAATGTCTCATTTTACAATGTTACAAAAAACTTCCATTTAAAAATAAAATTACTTTAGAGCCTTTATCAACGAATCCTGGAAAATAAAATGCCATGGTTTGCACAAAAATATTTCTGTTGTAACAATAACAAAATTCTTGAGCAGCAAATGAGAATGACAAAATCATTTCTGAAGAATCCTCTGACATAAAAGACAGAACCAATGATGCTTAAATGATGCTTAATTGATGGGATTTAGAAAGTGCCTCTCTAAAATTACCATTACACTGGAAGACGACAAGTACCTATGTGAGCACAATATGTGCATGACCAATGAGAGTGAATGGTCACCTGTCATGCGTTTTAGGCCACAATAAAAACACAATAAAAACATCAGTCTTGATGAGGAGCATTTTAATTCTAATATAACATTAAAACAAAAGCGCACTAGTGTAAAAGGCACCTTAAGTGCAATCTTCCTGCCTTTCCTCCCACGTCAGTTCTTTCTGCCTGTCTACTAGAAATTAAAACTTGGATGAATCAAAATTTCTTTAAATTAAACAGTTCAAAAACTGAGGTATTACTAATTGGCACTCCTATTAATGTTAACACGTGTAATGATTTTAAACCCTCTGTTGATGATTTTTAAGTGGCTCCCTCTACCGAGTTGCGCAACCATATCACCCCTGTACTTCAGCAACTTCACTGGCTTCCTGTTAAGTCACGTATTGATTTTAAGACTTTGATTTTAACATATAAAGCAGTGCATGGGCTAGCACCTGACTACATTTGTGACCTGGTAACTCTTGCTACTCCCACCCGCAGTCTTCAGTCTTCATCTGTACCTACGCTGTATCAGCCACATTGTAAAGGAAAGATCATTAGTGGTCAAGCTTTTTCGTACAGTGGGCCTAAGCTATGGAATGGTCTACCTATCAGCATCAGGAATGCCACTTCTCTGGACTGTTTTAAGATACTTCTCAAGACTTACCTTTTTACCATTGCTTTTAACTTAACAGGATTATTTTTGGCAATTTTGTCATTCAATTGTATTGTTATTGTTTTTTTGTTACTGTTTTTCCATTGTCTTATTGTGGTGTGTTTACAGTTTTTTTATTGTTCTGCTTTGTTACTGTTCCATTATAAATAAAATGTATTATAATAATAATAATGATAATAATAATAATAATAATAATTATTATTATTATTATTATTATTTCAAATTGGCAGTTTGCTAGTATGCATTGACTTTAGTTTTATGAATCACCAAGGTATGGGAAACTTATACCTAAGATGGCCTGAGGGTAAATAAATTAGCATAATTTTTTATGTCACACACCATCTTTTTTTCATCTTTTACATGTAATAAGGAGCTTTTTCATCTGTGACAGCGACAAGCAACATTTCTATTTAAGAAATACCTTCTATTACTACGACGTCGCAGCAGAACAACAGCATATACTATTATGACAAAGATCACACCTGGTATAGATTATGTGCTTTACTTATTGTTGAATGCTACCACTGTAAGTTCAAATACCATTTTATCTGACATTTACTGTACTACTGTCAGTAGTCCTGCCATCATATTGAAAGCAGAAGCAGATAGTTCACCTTTGTTTTTAAAAAATGAAAAAAACTGGCAGTTAAAAAATGAAGCCAGAACTTTGACTGAGTTCAAACCAACAACAACAGTTGCCCAATAACAATGCTAAAGAAGTTTAATATGTATTAGATTAAAAGCCTTTACCATTTGATTCGGAGTACAGTGGTGGGTACCTAAATGCTTCTGTCAGGTTGCGTCACGTTTGGTGCAGACAGAACCCAGGACAATTGCTTATCACTAAATCTTGTTGCGTTGCTTGTTGTTAGGACAGTGATATTTCTCAACATTACTTTCATTCATTTGTTCATTTATTTTCTTTTCAGTTTAGTCCCTATAGGAATTATCTTGCATATGTTTTGCAGCGGATACCCTTCCAGCTGCAACCCATCGCTGGAAAAAACCCATACACTCTCACCACGGAACCCAATTCACCTATAGTGCATGTCTCTTTGGGCTTGTGGGGGAAACCGGAGCACCCGGAGGAAACCCACGCCAACATGGGGAGAACATGCAAACTCCACACAGAAATGCCAACTGACCCAGCCGTGGCTAAAACCAGCGACCTTCTTGCTGTGAGGCAACAGCGCTGTGCCATGGCACCACTTAATATTAGTCCTCACCGCATATTTATTCAAAACTAGAATGCAAGTGTATCTTATTTCATATAGTCTCGAGATGTTTATTAAATGATAGAAATACAATCAGCAGAAATATTCTTAGACAAGAGCAGAATCAATGAAGAGGGCTCACCGTGCATGCCATGTTTCTGATTGGTTAAGAGCTGCGACAAAGCCCAGAACGCATCTTCTTCATTCATGAACATCAACAGAATGGCAGCAATCTGACTCATGCCCTGGCAGTAACTCACTTCCTGTGGACAAGAACAGACTAAGTCAACTATTATGTAACATGTCTTAATTAAGTATGCATGTGATCATACACTGACCGTATTGTAAACAGAGTAAGCCGAGAGCACGTGGAACAAAGATTGTTGCCTGTAAAGAGAAAAAAAGACAGTCAAACTCTCATCCTGCAGTCTTCACTAAAAGGCACAGCATGAAGAAACAAACACACATCTGCAACATTCATATTTTTCCACAAAGATACATTTGTTCCTTCAAATTACAGTTGAACCCCTCCCTTCATGTGTGAGAATTAACGACACCCTTCAGATGAGCAAGTCTTTCCACTCGGAGTCTGAGGCCTGCAATCTATTAAATCCTCAGTGACATCACTCTCATTTCTGGCCTACCGGGGGAATGAGCTCTCAAAATTGAGAAAGCCGCTCCAGAGAATGTCTGATGAGATGCAGAAGAGAGCAAGACGTTGATCAGCATCCACTTTTCATATTTATGTCTTGCGTAAAATATGTGAGGTACAAAGTTTTTGTAGTTTGCCTTTTTGAATCGCTGAACATCTCAGTTTAGTTTTAGTTCATTTAATGAATGGTTTTGCTAGATTTAGTTTTGCTTTTTTTTCTGAACACATTTCTATTTAGTTATGATATATTTAGTTTCAGTTTAGTTTTAGTAATTCTAGTACAGCAGATAAGAGAACACGTCCAAGACAGACAGCTAATTAGTTGAGGTCAAAAAAGAAGCAACACAACCCCGCCCCCTTCAAAAAAAAAAAAAAAAAAAAAAAAAAAAAAAAAATATATATATATATATATATATATATATATATATATATATATATATATATATATATATATATATATATATATATATATTTTATCTTTTTTTTTTTTTTTGGCCGTCATGGTGGTGCAGCGGGTAGCACAATCACCTCACAGCAAGAAGGTAGATGGTTCGAGCCTCGGCTGGGTCAGTTCTCCCTGTGTTGGAGTTCCCTCCGGGTGCTCCAGTTTCCCCCACAAGTCCAAAGACATGTGGTATAGGTGAATTGGGTAAGCTAAAATTGACCATAGTGTATGAGTGTGAATGAGTGTGTATGGATGTTTCCCAATGATGGGTTGCAGCTAAAAGGGTAGCCGTAAAACATATGCTGAATAAGTTGGCGGTTCATTCTGCTATTGAGGCCCCAGATTAATAAAGGGACTAAGCCAAAAAAAGAAAATGAATTAATTCATTATTTTCATTTCATTTTCCTGCGGCTCAGTCTCTATTTCAGAGGTTGCCACTACGGAATGAACCGTCAACTATACCAGCATATGTTTCACACAAGTACAGGGAAACACCCAAACACTCTCGCATTAACACACACTCTTATACACTACGGACAATTTAGTTCATTCAATTCACCTATACCGCATGTCTTAGGACTGTAGGGGAAACCGGAGCACCCAGAGGAAACCCATGCCAACACGGGGAGAACATACAAACTCCACAAAGAAATGCCAACTGACCCAGCCGGGACTCGAACCAGCGACATTCTTGCTGTACGGTGAACGTGTTAATCACAGAGCCACCATGCCACCCCTAATTCTAATTTCATTTTAGTTACTTTTTTCACCAACTGCTGTAAATAATCTTGGTGAGGTAAGCTACGTTTTAAAATGATTCAATTTTTTTTTATTATCTTATTACATCAACCAAGACTGCCTTTGTTTACTCAATTATACAGTAAAAACAGTAAAATTGTGACACATTATTAGAATTTATAACTATTACTTTATATTTAAATGTTGTTTTAAAAATGTAACTCATTTCTGCGACCCTATTACAGTACATTGCACTATGTAATAGCATCATCATAAATACCATAATAACACATTTAACAGGCATGCATGAGCTTTGGTGCTATAGCCTTCACTGAGTCACATGCAATGTAATGTAATGTAAAGTTTATTTATATAGCGTGTTTATTTTGTATGGCCTACACCCAAAGTGCTTCACAATCATGAGGGGGGTCTCTCCATGCCACCACCAGGAATGTAAAGTTAATGTAAAGTTAATAAAGCATTTCACATAATTTTTTGTGAGTGCCATTTTGGTCTTCTGAAATCAGTCCTTCAAACATCAGTTTAGTTCATGACAACTGAATGAAAAAGAAAATATGCACAGACGCAAAATCAAAATCAAGCTTGGATCTTGGATCACTTTAAGGCACTCACATAAAATATTTACAGTACAAGCCATTACTCATTATCTGAAACTTCAAGAGCTATTTGTCAGTCAGAGTAAGTTAATGTCTCTGAAAGCCTGAGGGAAGAATATTTTATTAGTCAAGCTTTGCTTAAGAAGATGCTTTTACTTACTTTACACCAAATCGATCCATAAACATGATGTGGTTTCGAAAGGTCCTGTTGATATCGAGGTCAATCTGCTTGATTTCTGGAGAGTAAAGCTGAGCCTGCTCTTTCATTCTCTGTAAATCAAACAAACACAAGGCTTCATCATAAAGCTGACTGTAAGTTATCTTACTTCTAACATAAGTTTATAATTCTTAAGTTAGATGGGTATACAGTCAAGCCCAAAAGTATTCATACCCCTGTCAAATTCTGACTTAAATGTTCGAGACACCCTGGAGTACATTTTCTGAGATTTGAACAGATTTGTGTGTGTTGAGCATCAGTTAAGACAACGTTAGCACCTGTTAGCTTTAATTGTGGAGAAAACTGGATAATTTTGAACTTTTGTCAGCTAATTTCAAAATCAAAATCGAGATCAAAATCCGTGACATGGCACAGATCCGCTCATGAGAGCACGTGCTTTCCGAAGGCAAGGCAGACTTGCCAAGCTGTGAGTTACAATAAATGGGTGAGACCGCGTCCGTGCATGGCACGGGTCGTATGTGTTTGTTTCCATGATGCACAGGGTTTGTTATGTTTTTCCCCGCAATGCTGTCAGGGCCGATACAGCAAAGCTGTTAGTTTGCAGCAAGCATTATTGAATGGTGGACTTTGTCTTTTATCACTTGAGTTTGTTTCCATTCAGACACATCGCCTATTTCCGTGCTGCCTTGTTCGCCAATGTTTAAAATCCTCCAGATTACCGGCAGGGCTAGTGGTTGAAATAGATAGGACAAGACACCTGCTGCACTGCTATCCACTATGTCTGCATTCAGACCTGGGGACTCAGGAGGAAAGAAGTCTTCCTCGTTTATAGTGTTTATATAAACATGATTATCTTTATAATGATAGAACAAATTGTGGTTATGTGTATATGAAATATTGAATAACAAATATAGCAGGGGATTAAATTAATTACTGATTATTTCTTTGCATTTTAACTTTGTAAACTCTAATATCATGGGTCTCCTTACGGTTTGTGTCTTATTTTGTGAGCCAACTGACCACAGTTGTTCGCTCCCCTCTTTTTCCCCTTCTCTGCCGGCCATGCCCACTCCTCCTTTTGCTCACAGCGCTCCACGTTCATCATGAAGCATTTTTGATAAAAGTCTGAGGTAGACTTGAAGCGAAAGAGGGGGGATTCATGGTCCATTAAACTTTTTGTTCAAATGTAAATAAAAGCTGATTTTTTATTCCTCACTGCACTGAAAAAATGCAGGGTTCCACAAAATTCTTTAAAGATATCCCAAATTATAAGGTTCTATCTGATATTTTTGTCAAAAGTTATTCACATACAGGCTTATTAAATTACAACTTATTTAAATCATGGGATGTTTTTTATAAGCTGTTTAAATCATAAAATTTTTTATTTAAAAAAAAAATGTTACACACATACTGCTTGCTATATGGAATGCAAAAACTTTGAAGTTAGCATTACTAAAAACTTTATGCAGACAACTTTAAAGGCAATAACAACAAAATATCAAATAGGACAAAATTCAGTGATTGTTTAATCCTCTTTCTGCTTCAATGCTGTATGCATTCCATACCTATACGGATCACAAAAGCAGATGCTTCCTCAAATTTGTCGACATAACCTTTAGTCTAGAACTACAGAGGCGGTCATTTTGACCTATTTTTGCTATTTAAAAATTTTGTTGAAATAAAACACACATATCAATAATTCCTTGACTTTTACAGACTATTTGTTTATAACATTGTTATTTTACTAAAATTACAAAAGAGTTCTGATTATTTCTGCCTAAAACTACCAGACTGTGTGACTTTAAATATGCGTGTCTCTGTTGCTAAGCAATTTACTGCTAACAAAAACCTAACTTTCTGTTGGAAAAACACAACTTTACTTCAGATATGTTTTTAAAACTGTATATTCAGTGTCACAAAAAAGCCTTATCTCATGCTTGTGAAAGTGAGGTACGGTCATTCGTGGCTGGTCTAATATAACCAAACTATAGGCTGTCTTACCAAAAAGATTGTATTTTTAGGGTGATGATGTATGAAAATATGATTACAGACATTCAAAGCTTAACTGTAATATCTCAATAGAGACTTTGAACGTAAATATGACGTGACAATATGACATCTTGTATGAGAAAGGTGAGAATGACCACTATGGTAATTCTAGTAGCTATAGAAGTCTGGTAGTTCAAGTGTTCATGTTCTGGGTAAACTATTCCTTACTACTGCCTTAGTCAAAACCAAGTACTAATCATTAATTACTAGATGTAATACTACTGCAATAAAACATATCGCTGATATGACCTTGTTCAGAGACACTGGATGCTACAAATACTTCCTGCCTGATGTCAAACCTCAGCAGCCCAGGAGGTTTGTTATGCTGGTCTTTTGTTCTCTCCTATCTCTTTCCGAGCCTTATATCAGCCATCTGTCTGTTTTCAGATCACACTCTAATCCCACTGAATAATCTTTACCACAGCACCGCTCTAGTAATCCCACTCTCACCAAACACCCGGCTTTAGGTCAGTGGAGACTCATAGCTACACTTTGTCCATAAGACCGCTAAATCTGCTGACCTATTAATTGTGTGAATGTGTGAACGGACGTTTTTCGAACAGTACTGTACCTCATATTTTCCTGCATTGTCGCTCTTGACTTTCTCAACGTCCAGCAGCAGAGCCCAGGCCTGTCCTCTCAGCTGCAGGGGGATTCCTTTAAAAACCCTCTTCATCATCTGCACAAAACACCCAGTTATTAAAGCAAGTGAATTAGAAATGGCTTATGATTTTCTGATAAATGATCCTCGCAAGGAAAAGCTCACCCGGTCACTGTTTCTATACTTGCTCCAGTTTTTTAGCATCTTCAGCCATTTCTGCACCCTCTCAATCTCGACCTGTTTTTGCTGCAGAGGTAAAAACAATAAGATCAGATGAAAAATTATAAGAAAAAAATCTCTGTCTGTCTGTCTGTCTGCTGGAATCAGCTTCCAGAAATGATCAGATGTGCTCCAACATAAGGCACATTCAAATTAAGACTGAAAACACATCTGTTTAGCTGTGCCTTTACTGAATAAGCACTGTACTACAGCCGACAGATCACACAATTATGACTTTCTTTTCTTTTTTTATTCTTTTAACACATTTTATATCATTCATATATCATTTTATTGTTTGTTTGTTTTTATTTTCTTATACTTGTCTTTATTATTCCTGTTTATGTAAAGCATTTTTAATTGCCACTGTGTTTGAAATGTGCTATATAAATAAACTTAACTTGCTTTGCCTTGCCTTGCCTTGCCTTGCCTTGCCTTGCCTGTCTGTCTGTCTGTCTGTCTGTCTGTCTGTCTATCTATCTATCTATCTATCTATCTATCTATCTATCTATCTATCTATCTATCTATCTATCTGTATGTTTCATTTATCAAAACATAATGAACCTACATGTCTCACCAGACAACAGACGACATCAAAATAATCTTTAAAAAAGTCTCTCTGACCTAACTATGATTTATTCACTTGTCACAACAAAATAATAATAATACTCTCACATTTTACTGATCATACTTTTTGTCTTTTGTTTTCACTAATAAATTAGAATTTATCTTAATGGGAGGAGAAATATAACCTATTTCAAAGCTTTTGCATTGTCTCACAAATTGGGTAATTATGTTGGATGTAATTTTCCTGTATCAAGGAGCCACTATCAGTTTCTGTTTGAATTAGCATTTGCGGTAGCTAGTGTTGTCAAAAGAACTAATACTTTGCTTTTAAGTTGACTTTGATAGCAATAACAAAAATGTTAGGCCTACCAGTTTTTCCACAAGCTTTTTTTTGGGACAATTAAAAAATATATAATGATAATAAAAATAACCAAATAAAACATAGTTATGTACATTTAGCCTATAATGAATGCCATTACGGGCCGTTACGGTGGCGCAGTAGGTAGCACAATCGCCTCACAGCAAAAAGGTCACTGGTTTGAGCCTTGGCTGGGTCAGTTGGCATTTCTGTGTGGAGTTTGCATTTTTTCCCCGTGTTGGCATGGGTTTCCTCTGGGTGCCCTGGTTTCCCACACAAGTCCAAAGACATGTGGTACAGGTGAATTGAATTAGCTAAATTAGCCTTAGTATATGTATGTTAATGTGAGTGTATGGGTGTTTCCTAGTTTTCGGTTGCAGCTGGAAGGGCATTCGCTGCATAAAACACATGCTGGATAAGTTGCCGATTCATTCCACCGTGGCGATTCTTATTTAATAAAGGGACTAAGCTGAAAAGAAAATGAATGAATGAATTTTGCAGCTAATTCTAAATCTAACCCACATTCCTATAGAAAGTACATGTACATGTAATTAATTAATATTACTCATTAGTTGAATAAATAATTGCACTTTAAAAATAAAGTGGGTAAAAATTAATCTACATATGCTTTTTAATATTTATTTTATTAAAAAAAAGAAAAGAAAAAAGCAATATGTCCACAATTATTTTGATTGCTAATATTTTTTGTTCCCTCATTTGTACAAGTACTCTGGGATTACGTGCACGACAGGCTTTGGGATCACCCTGCTGTTATTAACATCTGTTCTGAGGACAGCTTTCACTCTTTCCAGCCCTAGTCTTTAACCTTTACATGCCACAACACGACTGCACAAATGTCAGCTGGGAAATGCATCAGCCGCCTCCACACCGTGAACGTGTCAGATGGGAACACACTTCCAGACAACCCAGCTGTGTCTGCCACACACTCCTCTATGCTACAAACTCCCGTCTGAAGGTCACCATAAGCCTGTTTACAAAAGAGTCTCTGCACTGCTACTGATTCAGTCTGTGATCCTTTGTGTTTCCTTTTGTGTCTTTGATTCCTATCTTTTATCAGAAGAGGACATTCACATGCTGTTTGAAAACATGTCGCCTGTATTAATAAATGTTAAAAAAATGTCTACATTACCTTCTCTTCAAGTGCACTGGGGGTGGGTAATTCTTCTTCACTGTGGGAAAAACAAATACAGCTTAAAATACCATATTTATACATTTACTTCTAACTGAACAAGATTAGGTTTAGGCAGAAAAAGTAAAAATTAGCCAGAAAAAGTAGGCTATTGTTTTGTTTGTTTTTGCCAAGCTCACAAATGTTTTCATCAGGTGCAGTAATATTGTAAAATATTCTTGCAATATAAATATAATGCAAGAATAGTTCTGTCTGGTTCTTGAATCTGATTGGCTGATAGTTGTGCAATATTTTGCCAGTAACATCACACAAAGGCCTCTTCACCCTCCACATCTGTGTATTACTCCTCCCACATACAGCAAGCAACAAGCAGAGACGCTACAGTTTGACAAATATTACTGTTGTTAGACAACAAAATGTACTTTTGAGGCTTTTTTAGTCGAGAATGTAGCTGTTTAGATTGCAACTATGCAGTTTATTTGTAGGAATAGTGCCAATTTAAAAATAGCTCAGTTCAGTTCAGCGAACTTTGAGGAAAAGTGTAATGGGCTGGGCTGGCCAGCGTGGGGCCCACCTGGGATGGCAGATTTTATTTATCTTTTTTACCTGTAAGTTTGTTATTGTTCAAACTATTTATAATGTTTAAAGTGGCTGATAATAATAAATATATTAATAATAATAAGAAGAATAATAAGAGTCAGCTGCAGATGTAAATGAACTAAAAAAACTTACTGAAGAAATCCAAAGCGATCTGTGACTCAACGTCAAGCAGGAGAGGTGAGTGCAAGGGGTGCGCGTTTTTTTCTGCGCACATGCTCAGTTTGCTTTTTAATGGCCCGTGTGGGGCCCACCTGGGCTGGCCTGCATGGGGCCCACCTGGGATGGCCAGTATTATTTATGATAATAATTTACATTTAAGTACAGCAGCAACTTTTGAAAAACAGTGCTATTTTTAATTAACTTTTAAAATCACATTTTAATTTAAACGTTGACATTTTATTTATTTATTTTTTTACCTGTAAGTGTGTTAATGTTCAAACTATTTATTATGTTTAAAGTGGCTGACAATAATAAATATTTATAATAAGAAGAATAAGAATAATAGTCAGCTGCAGATGTGAAGGAATGGCAGTAGAAAGTAGTTCCTCATACAAAAGGGTTTTTAGGCTCTGAGTTTCTTTTTTATACACATGAGTATGCCTTCGAACTGTTGTATAAACGCAATATCACACTATTAGTGGTGCCATGTGGCTGTATATTGTCACTGGTTGGACATTAAGACACTCAGCCTGCAGCCTCGTGCCAATGCACGCCACATCACACTGCTACTTGTGTGATATTTACCTAACATGGTCAGAGAAAAATTCTTTTCCAGCAGAGCTATTGCTCAAACAAAATGTATGATTTTTACATTTAGTATTTTTGTAGTTAATGTTTTGACTATTTGTTTTAGACAAAATAATAATTACTCTTCAAGGTTCTGAAAGTAAATGAGCTAAACAAACTTACTGAAGAAATCCGAAGCGATCTGTGACTCTGTATATGCTGTAGTCTGCATCCTCCCAAGGATCGATCTCAACTCCTGCGTCTCTACCCTGAAACACACATGAGAGCATTATCTGAACACAGAATGTGTTGAGTTCGTTAGAAGTGCAAGAATTCATCCAAATGCAGATCAATTATAAAACAGACATTCTTAATCAGTTTAGACTTTAATGAAACTAATAGTCACATAAGAATACACAATATGCTATGCTACAGTAAAACAGTAATAATTTAATACATTTATTTTGCTATAATTAAGGTAAACTGTTTGTTGGATTTTTTTGTGTAAAAATCCTCAGTTGTACTGATTATCTTACTGATAGTAATAACAGCTTCTTCCTCATTGACCGGATTGTGAAATCTGTAATTTTTGACTTCCATAGTAGAAAAAACAAACTAGTCAACAGTTACAGGGTTTCAGCTTTCCTCAAAATATCTTCCTTTGTTTTCAACAGAAGAACGAAACTCAAACCAGTTTGAAACAAGTGAAGGATGAGTACTGTAATTAATGACAGAATTTTCAGTTTTGGGTGAACTAACTATTTAACACTGATTGCAACAAAAACTCCCACCTTGAAAAACCTAGAAACTTTCTGCTAACAAAAACATAACTTTCTGATAGCAAAACATGTGAATGTACTTCAGACATGCCTTTCAAAACAACATTTTCAGTACCATGAAAAAAACGTGAGGTGCAGGTCATCATGGGCTGTCAAGTAGCCTAACTACACATTTAAGGCTGTATTACCAAAAAGATGGTATTTTTGAGGGTAATAATTTCATAAAATATAAAGACAGACATTCAAAGCTTAATTTCAATATCTCAATATAAGTATTGAATGTGAATATGATGTGAAAATATGACATCTTTACAGTCAGAATAACCGCTCAAAGAATTCTAGTAGAAACTATTAAGTACTATCATTCTTTTTAATTACATAATGTTTAAATAAAACATCTACACATTTATAAAACTAATCCTAAACTAAAAAGTCAAACCACTGATTCAAAAAGCATACATAAAGCTTTAAAAACAAAGCTTCAAATCAATAATACAGAAAACAAATAGCAGCACTGTCGTTTATTTGAAAGTGGTTGACAGATTTACAAAAAAAAAACTAAGTATTAATTTTAATACACATAGGGAAGTTGCTTAAGCTGTTTTTTAAAAGCTGAATTACGACAGTAAATGTAAAAGATGGCACATTACTCCGCACACATACAGCAACAAGCAGAGGACACTCATATTGCTCAAATATGACACAAATATTGCTGCTGTTGGACAACATAATGCACTTTTGAGGCTTTTTTACTCGAGAATGTAGTTGTTTAGTTGTTTTATTTATTCTTTATTTAGTGCCTATTTTAAAATATATATTAATTCTGAGAGACAGCGCAACGGCGGCCATTAGCCTATCAAACTGAGCAGACCAAAGATGGTTGATGTTGTCAATCCACAAGATGGGGACAGAGACTGCATAATAAGCCCTCGGTGTATTTTCAAACTACAGCTGATCAAAACATTATTAAACAGGTTAGTGATATAGGTAAGTGAAACAGGTAAGTCGATCGCTCTCTTTTGTATGTTGTTTTGCTGTATTTATACCATATAATTGTAGTGTATTGAGTGTGAAATGTAAACGATAGCACATTATTGATCCTAACAATAAAATATTTATAACTTATTACTGAATGTCCACATATTTATGAATGTGAGACACTGATTCACATTCCAATCATTTTCAAATATGACTTCTTTGTCCCCATACTGCCACTTTGTACAGTATGTTCTGTAATAAAGAGAAAACAATTTCCAATTATCATGCAGATGATTCGATTTGTTTGTGGGTGAGTGTGTTATACAGAAAGTGGCAGCTCTGTGCTGGAAATTGACATTTTAATGTCATTAAGTGGTTGATGCTAGAAAGCAACAGCAGCAATATTCTCTCCAGCACATAGCTCTTTCCACACCCACACTTCCCTTTCACTTTTGTGTGGTTTCCGAAACCATTTTTTCATGGAATTACAAAATACAAACCAATGTGTCCTATCTCATGCCGTTAATTCATATTCCATGAGCTGAGAATATTGCAATGCCGTGCACTTATTCAACAGAATTTTCACTCTGTCTGTTGAGTTCAGGACAGCTGACGTTTAAAAGCTTTTTCAGTTGGTGTGGATCGATTCCCTGATGGGGGACTGCTGTTACTCTCCTGAACTCTTTTCAACCCCGCGCCGGAGAGAGGAGCGGACAGCGAGCAGTGATCCGTGACAGACAGCCAAGGATTACAGTCCCAGTATTCTCTGAATTTCAAATGAGTTGGTAGGAGAATGTAATGATGTGCCATGGTCAAATTGATCACCACAGTGTCCCAAAATCTGCACTAGCACACGAAACCGCCTTTAACATCTCAGTGCGACTCCTCACAACCTCCACCCCCACCCTTTCCCTCACTTCCCAGGGAGTTTTTTCTTGCCACACTATGTATTGCGAAAAAGACTTAGAGAGAAAAAGATTCAAATAAAAACTTGATTTGATTCAACAACCACAGGACATATGGACAACCTCTGGAGGTCAAAAAACTTCTCTTGGGAAAAAAAGGATACTTTTAAACTGGAAAACTTCCATTCTCTCCATATTTCAAAGACTAGATGGGTAAATTGTCTCAAGTCATCTAGTTCTAGAGGATACACTCCTTGTAACCAAAATCTCAACACCAATTTCAATCTGTATGGCAACCTCAAAACTGATAAGTGCCAAGGCTTGAACCGGCGACCTCCTTGCTGTGAGGCGAAAGCACTACCTACTGCGCCACTGCGTCGCCCTACTTTAATATTTGTTTTATAAATTAATACACTGTAATATATAAATGAATAATATATATATATATATATATATATATATATATATATATATATATATATATTGGAAAATCAGGCTGACATTAAATAGCCCGAGTCAAGCATCTATTTTAAGGGTGTCCAAACTCGGTCCTGGAGGGCCGGTGTCCTGCAGATTTTAGCTCCAACTTGCCTCAACACACCAGCAAGGATGTTTATAGAAAGCCTATAGCACAGGTGTCAAACTCAGTTATAAAAGGGCCGCAGCTCTGCACAGTTTAGTTCCAACCATAATTAAACACACCTGATCAAATTAATTGAGTCCTTCAGGCTTGTTTGAAACCTACAGGTAAGTGTGTTGGAGCAGGGTTGGAACTAAACAGTGCACGGCTTCGGCCCTCCAGGAATTGAGTTTGACACCCATGGCCTATAGTAAGAGCTTGATTAGCTAGTCCAGGTGCGTCTGATTGGGGTTGTAATTAAACATTGCAGGACAATGGCCCTCCAGGACCAAGTTTGGACATTCCTCATCTATTTGGTTAAAAATATAGTAAACAAAAATTGTTATCAACATTTTCAAATCGAAAGAAAATATGTACACACAGTAATGAAGTGCATTATATATATATGTGCCAATCTATAACATCAAATTTATATATATATATATATATATATTATAAACATATATATATATGGCATAAATGAATATTTACAGCTGGTAAACTTGTGTATTTAATTTAATTTTACTCAAATGTGAGAATAAATGAAATAAATGGTACAACTTACCTTATTATATTTTGAGATGATCTCAGCACGTTCCTCTGCTATCAGCACCTCTATGTCCTTCTTCATGTCAATATCTAGAAAAACAGCACATAAAATACAAAAAGAATTGTGACAAAAGCAAAAAATAAATACAGACAAAACCCCAAAGAGTTTTGAAAGGATTTTAACAGATGAATTGATTAACTTTGTCCATAGAAGAAATGCCAAAGTGCAACATATTTGTATTTTAGACCCAAAATCAGGTCACGTTGGCACTGAGTAACTTGAGATCTCATAATGTTTTGGACATCCTGCTGGTCATAAGAAGGCCTCGACTGTCTCAGAAACATTATCCCCATGGGAAGCTCAGAGCCATAGGAAGGGAACAAAGGGTCCCGTCGGGCTTCAGCTGTCTGAGAGTGCAGTGTCTGTTGAGTCTGTCACACACACACTCACACACATGCGCATGCACACACAAAAATAGAAACTGGCCAAGAGAGGGACACAGCTCTTCACAACATGCCATTATGTGTCATATTTCAGGCCTATAATCATAATCTGCCGTCAGGATTTTTGTTTCTCACAATTCTGAGTTTACAGTATACTTCAAAGAAATTCTCAGTTTGCATTTCACAATTTTGAGTTTGTTTTCATACAATTTTGTATTTAATAACTGACACCTAGACAGTCTACATCATATACATAGTCCTTGTGTTGATCCAGGACTGATTTCACATATTTGTTTATGAAATAATAAAATGTTTACGTAGTTTTACACTACTTAAGCATCCATAACATTTTTTCATTTAGAGCATTATAAACAATAGATGATGGATGATAAAGCCCAGAGTGTCAGGGTTATGCCACTCTGGTCATGTAAATTCTTGTTTTGGTGGCAGAATCCAGACACTAGTCATGTCTAGTTCTGTCCTGTTGTACTCGGCTCCAGTTTTCTTGGGTCGAGCACTTGTTTCTGTCATTGTTTGTCTCCGTGTACGCGCGCCTTCGTGGGTGTGCGCAGAGCTTGTACTCGTGTTTGGGTTCGTCTGTCTGCAGCATGGTGTTTCATTCCCAGCGTCTCAATCTAGTTGGTTTTGGTTTTGGTCGGAGCTGGGATGAAGCATGCACGCTGCGTGTGTGAGTGCGTGATGAGTGCTTTCATTCATCGTGTACTTGTGTCTTTCGTTCAGTCTTCTGTTGGTGTTGTGTCTAGCACGTGGTGCGTGTTTACATGCACCATGTGCTTGTGTTGTCATGAACACGCAGTTAATGAGTTATCTTTATCTTTATCTTTAGTAGTTTTATGTGAGCGCATGGCTTGTGTTGTCTCTCTGTGTCATGCGCTCTCCCGTCTATTGTCTAGTCCCACCCTCCTTGTTAACTCATTATTAGTTTATCATGTTCACCTGTTTGTGTTTCCTGTCCTGTGCCAGTTTGTCGTCGATACTCCCACTGTGTTCTTGTTTGAGTCATGTCTTGCCAGCCCAGCCAAGTTTGTCTGTTTGTTTTTATAGTTATGTTTTTCCCCCCTCGAAGTAGTTTGTTTTGCCTTTTTGTTTTATTTGTACTTTATTATTAATAAAACCCTTATTTGTTGCAATTGAGTCCTCGCTCCTTTTCCCCTTACCCGACCGTGACACAGAGTGTCTTCTTTCCAATGATAAACTGTGAATGTAGACCAGATCATTCAGCAACTGTAAATGTTTTAGCTTTGGGAAGATAATTTTTGAGAAAGTGCCCCTGACGGTGAGGAAGAGAAGGACATCGACATAAGCCTCAGAAAACTTTTTACAGAAATCTCATTTTGCATGCTATTGTCATCATATTTAAAATATAAACTTATGAAATACTTGGCTTTCAAGTCATATTTTTTCTAGGACATTACATTAATGTTTTCCTGTGTTTGTATATAAAAAACAAATATTGAACACAATACTTTTTTTTTTTTCATCATGACTCCATAATGTATAACCTTTTATATTTTTTAACCTTTCTTCTTTACAACAGTAAAGCTCAAAGTGTCTTCTTTCCAACGATACATAATTTGTGTTTTTAGCTTACTGGAGTCAGGAACTGTTACTATCTAAAGTTAGGTAGGTATAAATCCCCAAAATTGAGTGCTGGCTAACAGGTTAGAGGGAATGGGAGATGAGACTCTGATTGGTTTATTCTCAAAACACACCTATAACTCATTAAGAGAATAAGCGCAACCCTGTTAGACCATGCACCATGGCACAGAGCGGATTTTTCCGTCCTTGAAATAGCAAAAGTGGATTCGGACATGCGCTTAATGCTTTTGCACCATGCGCTTTTGACTTTGAACCTGGATCGTCGAAATAGAGCCCTTAGTCTTTAAAGCAGTATGACTGAGTGTAAACCTCAGCAGATATTCTAACTCTAATTGGCTGTTGTCATTTTCCTCTTATCTTGATTCCTGCCAAAAGTTTTTATTTTTAGCTCTGGGTTCACATTTGGGCCGCTCCAGCCAACAGCACAACAACAACTACTGACGAGGAAGGGATAAAGATAGCAAGGCAGGGCTCGAAACTGCGACCATTTTGGTCGCATATGCGCCCGAAACTTTAACCTTAAAATATATTTGGGAGCATTTCTGCGAGTGCTTAAAATTGTTGTGTGTGACCAGTTTTTACTGCAAAATGTTCAGCACATGCGCGGATTCGGGAGACATTCACGCAGAATGCATCTCTAAGCTCTTTGTCTGCACTTGGAACGCGAAACGCAGCGCTCAGGAATGGTTTAAAACAGTTGTCATGTCAACTTGCTGCAGTAAACAAAGCCAAGTCCGTAATGCTTGGCCCGCCTTCACGCTCTTCTTATTGGCCCACCACTGCTCTAGCACTGAACGCGAATGATTGGTTAATATCAGCTGTCAATCACTCAGCGCCTTCTGGCTTCGGATGACAGAGAAAGCTACTACCGCGAAAAATTGTAAAGCCCTGAAGATGAGAATGAAGATAACATAACACTGACAGATTTAGTTTTAGAAACCATCTAGTTACAAATAATGACACATCTTACTAGTGATCGAGTGCTGAATGTTAATCCACCATCTACACTTTACCAAAAGTAGAAGACTTCCATTGGCTTCAAGTCTGTGGGATGGAGTTTTCAGGTAACTGTTTGCCACATCTAGCACGAGAGCTTCTGTTTAATCCTTCATATAATCGCCAGATGCTGTCCGCCGTGCAAGGGGCAGCTATATGTCAAATTTACACCACCTACACCATCGCAAACGGGCTAGCACTGCGTAAACTAACATCGCTACTCCTAAAAAGACAGGTATTGCTATTAACATGTATGCATATAATAAGGTACAGTATGTGTCAAAAGCATCAGTGCAATATCCGACAGCACTTGTGAGAACAGCACAGTTATACCGTTAACAGATTAATTCAAGCAGTGCGTGCAGGGCCAGTGACCGCTCCGTGTATGCTGTTCACTCAGTTATGTTATAAAAATTAATTTTCTTGTGATAACGGGATTTCGTTGAGACATATTTTCCTCACGCATATATATATATATATATATATACATATATATATATATATATATATGATTATATGATATATATGATATACATATATATGATGATACATATCATATATATGTATATATATATATATATATATATATATATATATATATATATATATATATATATATATATATATATATATATATATATATATATAATTTTTTTTGCTTGTTAGTTTGATTAGTGTTGATTTCAAATACAAAAAATATGTTTGTATAAAACCTGTAGTAACGGTGCTCATAATTGGTGGGTGCGACAAAATTTTGGCTGATGCGCCTACATTTTTTAAGTTAGGAGCACCGGTGCTACCAAGCAAAAAGGTTAATTTCTAATCAGTCAAATTTAGATAAAAAATTATCATACATGTCTGCAATATGCATATCGCATATATATTATCGTGATAAAGGTAATTTTGCCATTTATTGTGCAGCTCTATCCATCCATATTAACAAATCAATGAATCTGTTGTGTTTGTCTAGTACCACTGATGACATTTCCTGATGTATTTGGACATGAGGACACTCCTGACAGCTGTCAATACGCCACTACATATATCTCTCTAGTCGCATGACCCTCTGACCTATTCTTCTCATCTGACCCTGCTCTTGCAGTTTTTTCCATCACTCTCACTGATTCGTCAATTTAAATTTCACTAAAACACAAGACCTAAAAATGCTGACATGAGAAGTACAAGTGAACAGAAAAAGTGATCTATGCTTTTCCTGAAACCAATAATAAGTGTTTAGAGGCATCATCAGGCACAATCATGGGTTGAGTGGCTGTGCTTACATTGCTTTAAAACCAGCACAACCACAGGAAATAATTCAGTGCCTCTGAGTTTTGTTCAACTCAATGAGAAAATCATTTACTCAAAACCCTAAACCACGGTTTGTAAAACTAAAGGAAAGCAAAAGACATTACTAAGCATTTTTCTCATCACCCACAGGCATTATATTACTCAGTATATCGTCTTACTTAAATTACTCCTTATGTCAATTTTTAAAAAATGGGTTACAGGGGCCACTGAGGTTGTCTAGATTATAAAATAGCCACGGCAAGAAACATTTATGTCAGGATATTTTAAATCTACTGTAAAATGCCTAGGACAACAACAACAACAAAACAAACTGATTTGTAACCCATCATCCGATAACAACAATCTTTGTTATACTTAAATATGAAAGAATGTCTCACATAAAACTCTAACTCTTTAACAAAATATATAGCAGAACATAAACACGAACAAACATCAGAACTCTAAAGCACTGCTACATCCAAATTTGCATACTCTCCAACCTAAAATGTATACAAAAGTAAAATTAACATGTCCCAAATCAAAGTGATGAGTATTCTAAAGTTACCAGGATGGTCTACTAGTTCCAGTAGACATTTAAAGTACAGATTTGTGCGTAGTCTAATCGCTAAATGCCCACAATACATTGCATGTTGAATGTGAATTTGATTACAACTACAAACATATGTAAAATATGTAAAAAAAAACTACAAACTTGGCAGACAAGTAAGGAAAATGACAGTCAA